AGTCCGGACCACCAAATGCAGTATTATGGAGGACAATAGAAAGAGCACAGGAAAGGCTGACACAGACGCCTACCCATGCTTTCGTTAGAAATAGCACAGGAAAGGCAATGTCACAGGGTAAATATCAGTTGTCGAGGCAGCCGAGACAGGCGCCTTGTGATGCCTTGCAAGACAGCACATGAGACTACCCATGCTTTCGTAGATGTTCGGTTTGAGAACCATCAGTTTTTCCAAACAGTCGGCAGCCCAAAGTCCGGACCCACAAATGCACTATCATAGAGGACAGTACAAAGAGCACAGGAAAGGTAGTATCACATGATAGACATCAGTTGTTCGGACGGCCGAAACAGGCGCCTTGCTACGCCTTGCAAGACAACACATGAGACTACCTACGCTTGCGTAGTTGTTCGGTTTGAGAACCATCGGTTTGTGCCAAACAGTCGGCAGTCCAAAGTCCGGACCACCAAATGCACTGTCATAGAGGACAGTAGAAAGAGCACAGGAAAGACAGTATCACAGGATAAACATCAGTTGTCCAGACAGACGAAACATGCGCCTTGTGATTTTTTGCAAGGCAACACATGAGACTACCCACGCTTCATAGATGTTTTGTTTGAGAACCATCAGTTTGTGCCAAACAGTCGACAGTCCAGAGTCCGGGACCACCAAATGCACTATTATAGAGTTCAGGAGAAAGAACACAGGACAGTCACCATCACAGGACACACATCAGTTGTCCCGACAGCCGAAACGGAGCGATGTAGTCCAACACGACGAGGAAGGAAAGCCTTGTGTGTGCGTGTTGAGAACCTTCTGTCAAGTGTGGTTATCGTTTTGGATCCGATGACCAGGATACGGCAGACACAGTATCACAAGATAGACATCGGTTGTCCAGACGGACGAAACGGTGCGATCGAGCCGAACACGATGAGGAAGGAAAGCCTCATGCGCGTGTGTTGAGAACCTTCCGTCACGTGTAAGTATCGTGTTGGATCCGATGACCAGGGTACGACAGACACCACGACACAACAAAAGCAGCAAAAACTATTCATGACCAAGGCACAACGAAAGCACTCCACGCGGTGTGGTTGCCGTGTTGGATCAGGTTTGGTTGTCGTGTTGGATCCGATGACCAACATAGGTTACCTTGATATGGGCACAGCAAAAGCACTACACGGGGTTTGGTTGTCGTGTTGGAT